TGAGAAATAAATTAGTACAGTGTGAAATTTGATGTTTTTTAATGAAATCATGTTTTTTAGTAAAATAACTAATTAATATGATTGGCTGACTATTGAAAAATAATTGTAAAACTGTAAATGCTTTGTATGTTGTGGAATGTAAAGTTACTTGGCATAATAAGTTTTTAATTCAGATTTTATCCATGTCATTGCCAGCTAGAGTCAGATGTTTTATAAAATTTAACTGCTTATAGTTTTTTGAAACAGTTAAATCAATAAAACTAAAATCTAATATATATTGTGGTAGTATGAATTTCTTAGTTTGACTTCCCAGCTCTACCTGGGCAATTACTAGTCTGTAAAAGTTTCTTCAAAAAACCCTTTTTGCAATCAATATTCATTTGGGCTTTAAATTTTAAAAGTTGGATTATTTTATTTCTAGAGAATTTTTCAATATTAGTATCTTGATCTCTTTGTGTTTTTTTGTTATTTGCTATTCTAAGTGTTAATATTATTAGAGATGCAAATTAAACTGTATATGAGAACAGAATAAGGTTTTTCAGCTATTGTTTTGTAGTATTTTTAAATGGTGATTACCACTGTGGTATTTAATTTGCATATAACATAAAAGAATTTTATTTTCTACGTGCTTTTCTAACTTTATAAGACTTAAATTATAAGTGATATGGTTAGTTAAATATGAAGTTGAAATAATGTGATTTATTTGAATATCAGATCTGCTTCCATAAAGCTTAAGGATAAATTTTAAAATTATGTAGCCTGTAAAATATGCTGTCATACTTATGTTGAGACATGCATAAAATTGCATTTTGTTTTTCTCTGTCTGGTGTCTGTAGAAGTCAGTATAACCAACATTTAATTTTACTGTTTACTGAAACCTTGTGTCAAATTACATAATGAAATCAGATTTTATTTCAGTTTTCTACTTAACATACTAATTTTGAATTTAGAATCCTGGAACCGCTCATCCTTATGATAGTGGCCACATAGCAATGACCTACACTGGCCTTTCATGCCTAGTTATTCTTGGAGACGACCTAAGCCGAGTAAATAAAGAAGCTTGCTTAGCAGGCTTGAGAGCCCTTCAGCTAGAAGATGGAAGGTATGGGTCATTCTGTGTTGCTTGTCTTCTTTCTTTTTTTTTTTTTAAGAAAAATCTTTTGGAACTAAAAATGGATATAGTATACTAGAACTGTAGAGTTTATCATAAAGTCTTACTAGCACCACCTAAAGTTCACTATATACATATGCTTTAAGTGCCTACTCAATTAAAGATTTCTTATATGAATGCAAATAAAAATAATCACAGTAGCAGAACTTCATTCTTTCTATTTTCATTTCTTTTTTTTTAAAGGAGACAGTATATCCATAAATAAATGGTTGAATAATTTCAAGATTAGCATCTACTTTAATTTACCTTCTGAGTTAAAAATGGGTATTTTGAAGCAGACATACATTTAGTCTAAACTGTTACGCCTTAAGACATAATGATAGAGGAGAAAGAGATGAACATTGAATATTATATTATAACTAGTGTAGGTAGTTTCCATGACATTTTTAAAGAATACAAAATGAAGTTAGTGAGTTCATTAATGTATGATGGTTTGAATGGTATGTTTAAAAAAAAAAGAATCTTAGAGTTTTAAGGTAAACATTTTTTAAGTCTAGGAAGTGATAAAGCAATAGTGATGCTGTCTAACAAAAAGACTTTGCAAACAAATCCTGCTGTGTTGTTAATATCTGTACTCCATCTACTTTTGTCTCTATTTTCCTGTTAGGATTTTAAAAATACTGCTCTTGATGAGGGGAGAATTAATGGAAACATACAAGACAAACTGACATTAATTGGAAATACTGTAAAGCTGTTTTTGTTACTGTATTTACCTAAGCCAGTACATGTGACTATTTCTCAATATTTCATTATGGTCTTTGGTTACTGCTATCTTATCTTTGTTTATAAATAAAAGAGTAGATATGAAACACAGGCTATTATATAACTTCTCTAAAACTAATTACATAGGTGAAAATTAAAACCATATGATCAATTAAATAATGGTTGTCTGTGTATGTACATTAAGAAGAAATTTCACATAAGTGAAACTTGAGCTTGAGAATTTCTTACTACCCAATAGGTTCCAGGTTTTACCTGCTACTCTTTCAGCCACTGATTCTCAAGCCAATGTGCCACAACTTTCCATGGCTGAGAGCAAATAAACTTACTCTAGGTAGCTTCTGGGAAAGGGTAACTGTGGTAGTGTGTAAAGCTACCCAGAAATCAGAACTTTGGGCTAGAGTAATGATTTAGAGATAATTTTATATAATTCAAGTTAATAGTCCTATTCTTTGTGGAATCATATAGTATATGGTTTTTAAATCCATATTTAGTGATAGATTTTTCTGTGAGTAAAGACATGAAGTAGGTGTTTCTAACCAACCCCCTGCAAAAAATAAATTATAGTACAGTGTTAATAGTAAATAATTATTCTTCTTTCAGTTTTTGTGCAGTACCTGAAGGCAGTGAAAATGACATGCGATTTGTATACTGTGCTTCCTGTATTTGCTATATGCTCAACAACTGGTCCGGCATGGATATGAAAAAAGCCATCAGCTATATTAGAAGAAGTATGGTGAGTTATGTTGATAAATTGACTCTTTGTTTCAGGTTATTAGTGCTCACATATGAGGGCTGTGGCATGCCTCATCTCTTCCAGCAAGAATTTTGAAGTAAGGGTAATAAGATTGCTTTCTGGGTACCTTGTGTGTCGGAATAGCCATAAAAAAAAATCTTCAAGCGTATTGACCCTTTAGCTGTTAAATTTTAAATGTAATCTGATTGTACCCAAAGAAACAATGTCTTTATGAGAAAGAGATTGATCAGCCTTAGAAGCAAAAAATAGTAAAACCCAAGGATAAATGTTGATAGCCTGTGCTAGTAGGGATCAGTGGGAAATCAGTAGATTTTTGGATCACTTTTGGTTTCTTAATACTTTGTGTGTGTGTGTGTTTTAAACTTAAAGTTTATTTTAAGGAGAATATCAAGTAGAAATGTTATTCTTTCACACAATACAATTTAGTCTTTTTATTGACAATAGTAGGGAAAGCTTAGTTTAGTTTTAATCAGAAATATCCTTTGCCCTGCTTGTTAGTCTCATATAAAACTGGAGAAATGGAAGTACTGCCTCCCAGTTTTATTTTACTTCATAAATATGAAATTTTTATTTTTTAGATTAAAATATTTTAGGCTGTTAATTCAACTTTTACTAGTGAGTGTTTCAAAATGAAAATGTAAATGTAGGTTCTTAGAGAAATGGAATTATTTTTAATTGAATTGTGAATGTGAATTAGGTTTTGTAGGATCTACAGTAGCACAAATTTTTAAAAGCCTGTGGAGGCAGAAAAAACAAACCTTTAAAAGAGTTTTAAGAGGAAAGGAGGGGGGAGGGTACAGCCCAGTGTTAGAGCATATGCTTAGCGTGCACAAGGTCCTAGGTTCAGACCCCAGTATCTCCATTTTAAAAGGTCGGGAGGAGGAGATTTATGCTATATTCAAAGGTGGGTGATATGCATTTTGACATTAGTACTACAAAAATAATACCATATTCTTCTCAGTGCATTGTATTTGGAGGTACAACATGTTGATTTGCCCTATTATTGGTGATGTTAACTTTGATCTCTTGGTTAAGTTGGTGTATGCCAGATTTTTCTCTGTAAAGTTAGCATTTTTCTCTTTGTAATTATTCAGTATCTTATGTTGAAATATCTGGAGACTTTGTAAATATCCTGTCCCTCATCAAATTTTTATCCACTAGTGTTAGTATGAGTTAATGATTCTACAACTCTATCATTCCTTTTATAATTATCAGTTAAAATTCTACTGTTAGAAAAAGGTTTCCCTCACCTTTATGTATTTATTTATTTTATTTAAACATGGACTCTAGATTCCTGTTTTATTCAGTGGGTTATTATCTGTTATTATCATTATTTATTTTGATGCTGTCCTAGATTCAGCCAGCAAGAACCCCCTCATGCAAGCTCTTGTGCCCTTTTATATGTCCCCTTCATTCTTTGAGCACCTCCTTGCTTTCTGAATAGTCAAGGTTCGTATTTTACCTTCCCAACCTCAGATCTGAAATCAGTCATTTCTTCAAGAAGTTCTGATGCTTTCTTATTGAAGGGTGGTGTTTAGAAAGTAGGATTTGGGCACAAGATGGACTCATTGGTACTGGAATATCGTTGCTTCCAGCCTTTCTCTCAGCAGCAGAGCTAGGAAATGTATGTATGTATGTATACACAGACATCCACCTTACACACTTACACATATCTCTATCTGTATCTGTCTCTCAAAAGCCATGAGTTCATACCAATACCTCAAATTTTAATTCAGCACCACAGGGTTCATTTTAACCTTCCTCTTTCCATTTGTGACTCCCTTCTCTGACAGTGACAGACCTGGCCCCTGTGATCCAGAATGCATTGGTTCTTTTTGTTTAGAGCCTGAGGATATGTAGTCAAAATGATTTAACAAACAATTACTTCTTTTATTCCTTCCACCATTGCCCCTACCCCACCTTTAGTATTTTTATATTATTTATTTGAAATAAAGTTCTTTATTTGTTTCTGTTTAGATTCTATTTTAGAATCCCTCCCCAACTTTGTTGATTTTGTTTACTTAATATGTGAAATATTAACTTTGTTCTGAAAGTTATAACTGTACAAAAAGTTACATTCAGAGATGTGTAACTCGCAGGGGTTTCCTGTTCCTTCTGTCTCCACCTCTTTTCCTAACTCCCATGTTTACCACCTCGTTCCCATTCACTCTGTAGGTAAGCATCCTCATTAGTTTTTGTTTGGTCCTTTCTGTACTTCTTTTTGATGGATAGATATGTATACTTTTATTTCTACTCCTTTCTTGCCCAAAAGAGTACTTTTTTCAGTTTGCTTTTTTCACTTAACAACATAGCTTGAAAACCACTCTGTATCAGGTCATAGAGATTTTTCTCATTCTTTTTTTTTTAAGTTTCATAGTACTCCATAGTGTGCACAGGGCATAGTTTTTTCAACTGTTCTATGTATAGGGTAAATATTTTCTAAATACAAACTGTTGAAATTAATAACCTTCTGCATATGTGCTTATATATTGTTGGAAATATATCTTCAGAATAAGTTCCTAACAGTGGAATCACTTGATCAAAAGGTAAATGTATACATAAATTTATGGGATATTGCCCATTTTCTCTCCAAAAAGTGTGGACCAATTTATATTCCCACGAGCGTATGAAAGTGCCTGTGTCCACCCAGTCTCACCAATAGAATGTGCTGTCACACTACTTTTATTTTTACCAATCTGGTGAGTGAAAAATGATATCTCAGCATGTTTTTAATTTGCATTTATTTTATTAGGAGTGAGATTGAGCATTTTCTTAACTCTAAGACTGTCCAAAGCACAGCCACAGGCCAGATTTGGCCTGCAGTCCCCAGTTTGCTGATCTCTACCTACAGTCCATTAGTTTGCCATTTCCTTTAGGTATTCCAATTTTGTGTGTGTTCTTTTTTTGCTTATCTTTCATTTCAACCACTTTCTCTTTGACACTCTTTACGTCTTTGTCTCATTTTTATTCTTTTGGCTATTTTCAGTCTTTCTTAAATGTCCCTTATTGTCTTTATTTGAAATCATTTAACTCTTTATTTCTTCCTACTGCTTGTCCTTTTCATTTTCTGATCTTAAATTTTCTTTTCATATTCCCAAATGCTTACTTGAGGATATGTAATTGAGTTTGGGGTGCTGTATTGCAGTTTCCTCTGCTTTATCACCATGTTTTAGAGGTGGCGGCAGATTTTCGTATACTGAAATGTTTGCATTCTGGTTGCTGTTTTTTCATCTCAGAGGTATTTTGTATAGATTTGTCTTTTTCTGTTTAGTCATTTAGGGATTTTTTTTTTCTTACAAGAATTCCTAGTTTAAGAGTACCCTCTTTTCAATACAGAGAAATACAGTATCATTCTCTTTAATGAGTCTCTGTTTGTTTGTTTGTTTGTTTAGTGATGGGGGAAGTATTGTGAGTTCTGTGATTTCCTGGTAGGAGAGAGGATCTTTTTTTGTTTCCTGGGTCTTTAAATTTTGCTCTTTTGAATTTTCCTTTGTCATCTGAACTCCAGAGGGCCCTTCTCCCTTCCTTTATAACTATCTTAATCAGAGTTATGCCTTCTGAATGCTGTGCCCTTGACTTACACATTCTCTTAAGTCTCTTCCCTGTAGTCAGTGCTCAGTGTTACAGAAGTCCTTTAGTACAGGCAGTCCTCGCTTTGCATGGTATCGCTAATTGAAATGATGATCATGCAGGCTGAAATGATGCAAAGTGATCTTAATCATGATCAGTGGGAAGAATTACAATTGTGATTTTTATAGTTTTTTGCCAAAACATTAAAAATTCTTTTACTGTCAATTATAAATGTATAGAAATTTTTTAATGGTAAAACCAATACTTGTTTATTAGTACACTGAATTTAAAACATTAGCAGTATTGAAAATTAAAATGTTTTCTTTGTAAAAAATGTATGAAGAGTTGTTTGAATAGTGCTCTTTACCTTCTCATTATATAACTTACGATATGGAGCAAGCATCTTTCTGTCTTGGTAAATGATCATACTCCTTTTTAAGTTTGTATCAGCTTCCAATATTTTGTCCTTTGCATTTTCATTGTTGTGAAGTGTCTATGAGAGTTCCTTTTATGTGAAGTTTTTGGCAGCATCACTTCTCTAGAACATCTTCATCCTTTTCATCACAACCTCATTCATCTAGATATTTCATCTTCACTTAATTTTTCTGAATCCATGTCTAGTCTCAAACAGCCAGCACTGTCATGATAGCTATCTCTTCTATTACTGTTTGATCTCAGTTTCACTTTCATTGTTACTGCTTTTCATTTCTTTATTGCACTTATATCTTTGGTGGCCAGTCTCCTTTTTTTGGTTATGCCTTTGCGTGACACATCACATGGGTTGATCACTAAGAGACAGAGACAGTACAACCACATACCTTGCTGTCTGTGTATGAACTAAGTGACATGTGCAGTGACCAGTTGAAAAAGGTTACGTGATTAGTCATTGATCATGAAACACAGCTATTATTTATGTAGTGATTTGTGCACTGAGGAGCTAGCAGCGAGTTTATACTCAATGCGATTGCTCACAGTTAATATACTGTTATTAATGAAATTCTAACCATATTGTGTTATTTAAGCCATGGTACCTGGAATTTGTGTATATTGGAACTGCAGAGCAAGGATTTCCTGTATTTCACACTTAAGGTGGACTTTCTCTTTGAGCCAGTGATTTTAGATAATCTTAGACCTGCCATTAGCTCCCTTCCTCCCTCTTCCTCACGATTTTTAGTTCCCTCCTCTCTCTTGCTCACGATTTTTCATAGATTGCCCTTGTTCTCTGCAGAAGTGTGTCAGGAGTGTGAGAGACAGCTTGCTGGGATTTGCTGTTTCTTTTTCTATAGACAGGTAGTTTGAAGCTTGAGCATGTCTTTTAGCTTCGTTGCTGAGGTTTCAGTTTTGTATAGTTGTGTTGTTCTTACCCTGTTTTGATTTTGTGGGATATGTAGGGAGATTCGAATTTAGGCAGGCACCATTATCCTCGGCTGCCCAAGAGCCTCAGAATAATTTGTTTTGTGTTTATAATGTTATATGAGTATAAGATTACATTTTCCTTGAACTCATACATTCTTACAAGTGGGAGAGGAATAAGGGTTGGGGCTTTTTATTATGTAGAAATTAAATATGTAGGTGCCACCTTTGAACAGTCCATTCTCAGAATGTGCCTAGTGTATGCATTTACTGATTTGGCTTAGTGAGTACAAGATCAGGTACTTGAAAATGCCTTAAAAAAAAAAAACAAGAAAGAAAAGAAAAAAGAAAATGCCTAGATCTACTTCATTGTAGGAAGGAGTGCATATCTGAAAGATACAAAGGGGAAATAAAATTAGATCAAGAGACAGAAAATTAGCATAATGACAACTTATTTATTTATTATTATTTTCCTATTAAACTGAACATGCTTTTCTTTTTCAGTCCTATGACAATGGCTTGGCGCAAGGAGCTGGACTTGAGTCTCATGGTAAGGCACCTTAACATAAATGGACACATAGTTTCTTTTGTTCCTTTAAATAACATCACGGTATCTTCAACATGTAGGACCTAGAAGTTTATCTCAACCCTTGGTACACCCTGATTATCTTCTTTCCTACTTCTCTCTTTTGACACTGTTATGCCACCTTGAGGCTTTTCTAGGTCAGTAACTATTCAGAGATTATTCCGACCAGAATGTTCAAGTGGTATTTTCTAGTGATCTTTTCAACTGTTAGCTGCATGAAAACATCTTGACTTAAGATATAATTATCCTAAGTCATAGTTATGAAATATTTTGCTGCATAGCATATGTTCACTAAATACATTCTCTCCTTTCAAAATTTTCCTCACTTTTGGCAGAACCATAAGAGTGAGTGATAGTTTGTCAGCACATCAATAGCCTGAACTTGTTCAAGTGGAATATATTTATGTAAAAGTATATACACTTCTGTGCTCCTTTTTTAATAAGCAAGAGCCCAGATCAAGGAGGATGTCTGAGTGAACTCGTTTCCTTTGTGCTCACCTGTTGTGTCCATCCCTTGCTAGCACAACAGAGTGGAAAAAACTCATCAGTATTGAGGTCTTATCTCTGACACTAGCTGTGTGACTTGGCTCTTCACTTAATCTCTCTGAGGATTTCCTCATTAATAGTAGAAATAATTATATCCTTCTTTAAGATTATTGATAGGATTGAGGTGACAGATCAAGAAATATGAGGGAAGGTGGTTTGTATAAAAAAATTTTTATCATATGTTTCATGTACTTCCCCTGGGACCTGTCCTTTCTGGTATCTTCAATCTCTCTCTCTCATTTTCACTCCCTCCTTTGATGTTATTTGTAGAATGTATATGTCACTAAGGAGCTGTAGAAGACTCTTGATTTTCCTCCGAAGCCATACTATAATTAAGACATCTTAATTCTAGTATGTGCCTGAGTCTTTGTGAGATCAGGGATGACATTAGCAATTATGTCAGTGGTCATCACCACTTGGTAAGGAGTTGCACAAATTGGAAATCGGGCATCTATGAGACTTTCAGAGAAGACAGGGTCTGCTGCACACTGTTGTAAAGGAAGTTAATGGTCACGCTGGGTGAGAAGACACTAGTGCGGGAGACCTGTGGAACACACTGTTGTTCCCCAGAAAATGGGATTATGTTCTCTGGGATACGAGACAGAAAGGGTCACTCAAACATGCTATTGTCTGATGGGAAAAAATCTTGCTAAGTCACACGAGTAGTGATTTTGAGTCAGTATGACTTGAGGAGGATTGCACCCATCGAGATCATCATTGATGGACTGTGATTCATACCAAAAAGCTTGCATCCTCCTTTTACTGCTCTTTTTGGCTTGGTATGTTTAAGGTCTAAAGGCCTAGAGGAGGACTTCCTACTCAGGGTGCCACAGACATGGTGTTCTGCAGATGGGTTATAGAGACACACCAAGCTATTGCTCCCTCAGTCCTTGGGGCAGCCGAGACCTGGGTATCTAGAACTCCTGTTTCGGTGACTTCTGGCCAGGAGCACAGTGGTGTGCCCTACAAATGTCAGACATTTTAATGTTCTCATGTGCTGTGAGGTTAGACTGAAAAGTACTGTTCTAGAAGACTGGTATAGCCTCTCTTCCCTGTCTTACCTTATCACTCTCTACAATGGCAAGAGAAACCTCTTTCTAAAAAGTAGTCCTACAGTTTGGGCACCCTGTGAAATCACTGTATTCTCCTTTTCTCTGCTTTTATTGTTCATGTTTTTTTTAGAATAGTGGTCCAGGTATACTATTTGCCCTTCTACACAAATGGCTTATTCTTTAATTTTTCCGTGTAAGCTTTAGAAACTTAAATGAAATTTCTCTTTTGAAGTCATGAATGATTTGCATTTCAAATCTGTTATCTTTCTCTCACCCCTCATCATCTGTTTATTACAGCATTTGAAACTGTTAGCCTCTCCCCCTTCTTTCTTAAAACATCACATTCCTCTTGTCCTGTTTCCTGACAAGTTGTTTTTGTTACTTTGCCATTTTTGTTTCTTCCTCTCACCTCTTTACCTTAGTCCAACTTTTCTTCTTTTCTTTGGATCATTCATCTTTCTAAATACCAGGACTCTCTAGAAGGAATACCTTCTACATAGAATCCTTCACCCCTCTTCCTGGCATACACCTGGCTTCATTTCCATCCTTCAGGTATTGGCTTAAATGATATTTTTGGATAATCCTATTTAAAATTGCAAACCATCCACAGACACACCTATTACAAACCAACCGCATACACATCCTGCATTCCCTGTCCCCCTTTCTGGCTTTATTTTTCCCCGTATCACTTACATTTTACTTATTTGTTTATTGTCTGTCTCCACATAATGTATGCCTCATGAGAACGGGGGTTGTGGCCTCTTTTATTCACTATTGCATTCCACACACCTGTAACATGTGGCACATAGTTGAATGAACTAATAGATGGTTCTCTGTCAATCATCCCTGGGGTGATGGCACCCAAACTTTGTTTCTGTATCTGTGCTGTTGCTTCTGAGTTGCATATCCCCTTTCCATGTGCGTGCCAGGCATATCCACTTTGTTATCACTGCAGCCTCTCAAGCTGCACATTTTTTAAAACCATCGTTCTCTTTCCTTCCTCCCAAGCCTGTTTTCCTGTTTAGGAATGTGAAACTATTACTACCAGATCTACTGATTTTTTTCAGGAAAGCCAGAAATCCAGAATTTGGGGTATTTAATCTCCTATTCTGTTTTTTGTTGTTGTTCTTAATTTGCCAGTCATACCAGTCCTCCATGGTCACCAGTTTATAATCTTTTACAGACTAAAAGGAAAAAGAATTTATTAAGCAGATGCTCTGTGCCAGCTACCATTTAGTCTCATTTAATCTTAACACTAGCCCTCTGAGAGTAGACATCTTTGTATTAGTCAGGTTCAGTCAGAAGCAAAGTCATCATGAATATGCAAGAATAGGAATTTTTCATAGGAGTAAGATTTTACATGGTTGTGGAAGAAGGTGGAGAAGTAAAGGCTTAAAAAGGGTAGTTGGTAGATCAGGGAAAAGTCACTGGCGGGATCTCCAGAAGCACTGCCACAGGTGGACAAGTGAGACCTTGCAGGAGAATCTGGAGAGCCAGGCCCATCCAGCTGCCAGAATGTGACTGGAGGGCTCTTACTCCTGCATCCATTTGTGGGCCTGGTGTCACTAGAGCCAGAAATAAAAAGAGCTTGGATTCAAAGTACATGGGAGAATAAGGGCAAGCTGGAGTGTACCAGCACCTCTGCCCTTGTGTCTTACCTGCTCTGACCACAGCAGGGCACTGGCTGCTGCTTCACTTCCACCCTGCAGATCTCACACAGATTTCTCTAACTTCAGACCATATAAGGAAGGGGATTCTGGGAAACAGTTCTAGCTTAGCCAAGTTAACACGGTACAGAACTGCCACAGTAATTATTACAGTTTCACTCAGAGCAGTTAAGTAACTTACCTCGTAGACTCACATATCAGGTAAGTGTCATAACCCTCTTGAAACCCTGTGCTTGCTCAGCAGTGCCATTCCCCCCACACTTGACTCCCTTAGTGTAGTTCTCCATGACCCAGTGCCGGCCTTGCTTTGCAGACGTACATGTGAGAGATCCCTTCCCTGCGCTCTAGGCCGCAGAGAAAATGTATTCTCTACACGTTCTTAGCTGCCTTTTCACCACTGGACTTCACTGATACTCTGTTTCCTTTACCTGAAATGCTTCCCTTTCACCTGCTTCTCTTCATTTACCTTTTCTTAATCTTTAAATTTTACCCATCTAGGTGTGGTTCTGCTGTCACTTTGTAAAATCTTTCATCTCTTGTCCCCTCCAGCCCTATGTAATTTCTCCCTTTTCTATGTTCTCATATTCTTTGGTTCATACCATTTACCTCTGTTTACCTTATCTTCTCTGCTGGGTTGTAAGCTGATCGTGTCTTACTTTTGTCTTACTCCATATGCCCTTGAACACTGTAGTTGTTCAGTAAATATTCGATGAATTGGTTATCTTATATTCCACTCTGCATCCCTCAGCTGAGGAGGCTGAATTTAGAATGTGTACCTCTTCTACAGTTTGATATCAATGAAGTTTCGTCATATGCTTTTCTTACTAATTCTGCAGTCTAACTGGTATTTAATATACTGTTTTCTTTTTCTTTTTAATTCATTTACTCTTCTCCAACTACTCCTTAGCCTGGAGCCCATTTGTCATGAAAACTAAATGGATACATTGTACCCTTCTAGGCACTGATTATCAAATGTTATGATTCTGTTCATTCTAGTGATTCTCTTACAATATACACAGTTTTAGGTAAAATGTTCATATGGTTTGGAAGAATAAGATTTTCCTACTCTGCTTCCATAGTCACATCGCCTCTTTGACTGTAGTTTAATCTCACTTTGCCCCTCTCTTATAAGAACACCTGTGATTACATTTAGGGCACGTCCCATCCAGGATAATCTTGCCATCTCAAGATCCTTAACCTCCATCACAGAGTCGCTTTCGCTGTATAAGGTTAGCATGCCCATGTTCCAGGGATTAGGACTTGGATATTGTTGAGGGGCATTATTCACTGTACCATAGCGAGCATGGATATGTATTGTACATCTACTTACAGATACAGTGTTCTGCTCCACACCCCCACCTCACACACATGCACACTTCCCTTTTCCCCTTGCTAAAATTTTTCTTCCTTAAATTTCTTAAGCTGACTGCATGTAAGCTTCTGGTTTATGTTATATGTGAAAATTAGTAGCTTTAGGTAGTTGGAACCTCCAAGTTCATAAGCAATACACTGTCTTTAAGGGAATTAAAATCCGACTCAGGTGATAGAGTAGTAGACAGGAAGTAGTAGTTCTAAATTTTGGTTTCAACTCTCCCACTAACCATGTAATTTTGAACAAGTTTCTTAATCTTCCAAGTCTTACTTTTTTTCATTAAAAAATGGTTGTTATAGCTTTAAATTATTTAAATTTTTTTCTGTTTCATCAAATTAGTATTGAAGACTTCATTGTTTAGGGGTTATTTAAAAATTATAATTGCTTGTCTTTTCATTTTACTTTTATTTTACTATTTTCTAGAATTATTTAACCCTTTTTTTTCTTCATGTTTGTATTATTTTCCCAGGCATCTAATAAGTTTAAAGTATTGTGTGGTTTTAATTAACAGGAGGATCAACTTTTTGTGGCATTGCATCACTGTGCCTGATGGGTAAACTAGAAGAAGTTTTTTCAGAAAAAGAATTGAACAGGATAAAGAGATGGTGTATAATGAGGCAACAAAATGGTTATCACGGAAGACCTAATAAGCCTGTTGACACCTGTTATTCTTTTTGGGTGGGAGCAACTTTAAAGGTAAGTGAAATAATAAAAATGAGAAACCTTTACTCTTTATTAATAAAAACTGTGCTTATTTGGTCTTTGTAATGTTCATTTAATATTGTGAAGTTTAGACTACAAAATTTTTCCTGTTGCTCTGGCAAAGTTAGTCTTTGTGTGGTTTCTCCCCAGAATTCAGTTATCTGTTGTACTACTTGAAAATTTCGATTCTTAAAAAACTCCAGTGTCTCAGAATCTTTGTGAGAAAGTAGGCATAATGTCAAAAAAAACTTGTAACTGAAACTGATCAGTAGTCCTTCTAGAGCAGAGATATGTCTGAACATACCAGTAAAGGATTTATGGGAAGATACTAATCTTAAAAGATAATCCATGGATCATTCCTTTAAAAACCATTTAAGGTTTTTGGTTTTTTAATAATTTATTTGTGTGAGCCTTCTGGAATGTATTGATTAATATGTTCCTACATTTCCCCATCTACCTTTTGATATACCTAATTCTAATTCTATAAGGTTTCTAGCCACTGAGTACCCACAAGTCTTCCCACATCTTAAAATTGCCTTTTTACCTTTAAAAAGTATCACTTAGTTCTAATATTCTGGAATCTAACAAAAGTCTGTATTCCCCTATATAGTATTCTAATTTTTTTCTCTTTAACAAAATTCATACATGTGGTTGAAATAAACTGGGAAAATAGAATGATTTGAAATGATAGCAGTAGCCTCTGTCTCTTCTCTCACTTCCAATGCCGTTCCTCAAGGGCACCATTTTAATTTTTGGTTTAATTATGGAAAGTTTCAAAAATACTCTAAAGAAGAGAGAATAGTGTTTAATGAACCCCTATATGTTCATCAACCAGTCTCAACAGTTTTCATCCTAAAGTCAACCTTCGTTCATCCATACACCTACTCACTTCCCTTCCCTTCACTGTATTATTTTAAGGCAAATCCCAGACACCATTTTTTACGTTATCTGGAAATTCTTCAGTATAATCACTAAATGAAAATAGTTTTTTAAAAAATGGAGCTATAATATGGTTATCTCATCTAAAAAACCAGCCATAGCAAGTCAGGATGGTATATAATTCCTATTGCATCATATCAAGAGGCGTATAATATAATCTCTAATTGTCTTTTCTTTTATCAAATAGTTATCAAAACTGATGTGTCTGTTGTAATGTTTTCTACCAGCTTTTTAAAAAAATTAGATTTTGGTGAAAAATCTATGTATAATGTAATTTCAGTTTAACTATTTGTAACTGTACAGTTCACAGTGTTGTGTAACCGTTACCATTGTCTATACCCCAAACGTTTTCATCATCCTCAACATAAACTCTACTTGTTAAACAGTAACTCCCCATTCTCCCAGACTACATGATAACCTCTACTCTACTTTATGGTCTGTGAATTTACCTATACTAGGTACATTGTATAAGTAGAGTCATATAATATGTGTCCTTCTGTGTCTGGCTTATTTCACTTAGCGTAATGTTCTCAAGGTCCATCCATATTCTCATATACATCAAAATTCCACTCCTTTTTATGGTTTAGTAATGTTCTAATGTATATATAGTAATGTATATACCAATTTGGTTTATTCATTCATCTGCTGATGAACGCTTGGCTTATTTCTACCTTTTGGCTATTGTGAATAAGGTAGCTAGAACATTGATGTAAAATAAATATCTGTTTAAGTCTCTGTTTTTATTTCTTCTGGATAATTACCTAGGAGAGAAATTGCTGGATTATATAGTAGTTCTGTGTTCAACTTTTTGAGGAACCACCAAACTGTCTTCCACAGTGGCTGTACCATTTTACATTCCCACTAGCAATGTATAAGAGTTCCAATTTCTCTACATCCTTACCAGTACTTGTTTTTTGTTGTTTTTTCTTTCATAATAGCCATTCTAATAGGTATGAGATGGTATCTCATTGGTTTTGATTTGCACTTCCCTAATGATTAGGGATACTGAGCATCTTTTGATGTGCATATTGACCATCTTCTTTGGAGAAATATCCAGTTTATCTATTTTTTCTTTTGTTGGCCATGCTTTTGGTTGTTATCGCATGAAATTGTTGCAAAACCCAATGTCATGAAGATTTTCCCCAATGTTTTCTTCCAACAGTTTTATAGTTTTAGCTCTTAAGTATAGGTCTTTGATCCACTTCGAGTTAATTTTTATAGATGGTATAAAACAAGGGCTTCAGCTTCATTCTTTTGCGTGTGAACATTCAGCTTTCCCAGTACCATTTTTGTAAAGACAGTCCGTTACCCATTAAATCGTCTTGGCACCTTTGTCGAAAATCAGCTGATCATGTATGTGAGAGTTTATTTCTAGGTTCTCCATTCTATTCCATTGGTCCTTACTGTTTTAGTTACTGTAGCTTTGTAGTAAGTTTCAAAGTTAGCAAGTGTAAGTCCTCAGATTTTTTTTTTTCTAGATTGTTTTGGTTCTTCAGGGCCCCTTGCAATTTCATGTGAATTTGAGGATTGGCTTTCCCATTTCTTAGAGAAAAGGCTGTTAAAATTTTGATAGAGATTACATTGTATCTATAGATTACTTTAGATTGTGTTGGCATCTTAACAATGTCATATCTTCCCATTTGTAATGATGGGATTTTTTCTATTTATTGAGATCTTTAATCTCTTTGAGCAGTGTTTTACAGTTTTTTCATACAGATCTTTCACATCTTTGATTAGATTTATTCCTAAATATTTAATTCTTTTAGAAGTTATTATAAATAGAATTGCTTTCTTAATTTCCTTTTGGATTGTTTGTTGCTAGTGTATAAAAACTTAATCATCTTTTTATGGAATAGTTTTAGCAGCCACTGAGGATCTTTACTTAGAACCATTATGTCACTGGGGGTTGCAAAATGGTGATATTTTATCATTCCCTCCAAATTTATTAACTAGGATTCTTTTACAAAGAAGAATTTCACTTTAACTTGAGGTATGGCTGTGTAGAGAAAGGCAGATAATTCTCTTAATTTTAATAATGTTCATTCAGTACAGTGAGTTGGTTCCCTAGCATCCTTTAAAGTTTTCCAATAAAATCATTGGAAATTAGTTTTTTTTTTTTTACCCTTTGAGTATCATTGTGAACTCACAGATTTTTTAATATATTTTATCCATTTTAATTCAATACATTGTTCTTTTTAATGCTCAAATTGTCTCATCTTTAGCCAGTATGAGCCCCTTCACATTGATTCTTGAGTATTTTTGATATGACCTTGGTGGTCTTTGACAACTTTCTAAAGGGAACTGCTTTTAAACATTTTTTAAATTTAATTCTTGTAGATGACTTTAAATAATTTGCCACTTTCTGGACTTAACATCTTTAGATATTATGTTTGATTCCCAACTATAAAAAATGAAAATTTGGCTTCCCTTTTTTCCAGCAAATTGTTACTGGTGTTTGTTTGTTTGTTTGTTTTTCCAAGTTCTGAACCTTTTCTCCCTTCTAAATCTTTTAGTTTACCTTTACTTTTATAATGTCAAGTTAGTTAACATTCATATTTTGTTTGGTAACAATAATCAAATATTTTATGCCTTACCTGTAGGTTGATTCTATAATTTGAAAACCAATAATCACTTATTGTGGCTTATAAATATTGTTTATTGCTAAACCAACTACAGTGTTAAGATTGTAGATTCTTCTTTTTATGTAATGACCCATATGCCACTTGATGGAAAATGTTTCTAGCATCAGAATTCTAAAGTGTCTCTCTTTCCTCATATTCTGTTAATTAAATGAAAAAGAATGAATATGTTTATTTCTTATCTGTACCGTAACTCTCTTATTGGTCTTGTTTTTCTTCTTGAGAAACAATGCTTATTCACTAATTATCAATACCTTTTGTGGCTCTCTGATTTATTAACACACCTTCAACTGTTTTGTCTCTTACAGACATTTCATGAACTCTGTTAACAATCTACTGCTCACCCCCTACCCTGTTCCCTTCACAGTTTGGCTTATCCTTTATGTAGTTCTTTTTAATGGGATCTTGAGAGAAAAAACAAATACATGTCTTAAATTTTTAAACTATATAATGTTATGCTAAAATTGTGTTTGTGTCACCTTTTATCTTTCCTAATTAAAGAACTTTAATTTTTTACCATTCTTAAACAAAACTGTCTCTAGAACCTGATTAATAATTTTTGTTGCTCTTTTTTGAAAAATTTTTAGTTCTTGTTACTAGCAGTTTGTAACTAATAGTTCAGAAGGCTATCATAAGTTAAAATATGGATAGATAAAATTGCACTTTTTAAAATAACTGATTAAGTTGAGCACATTGGGATGTTGTGTTTTGAATGTAGCTATGTGGTGCAGAGAAGTCAGTTGGGTATGGTTCAAAAGAAGGAAATAGTCAAGAAAAGGAGAGTAGATTTTATAGAATGATACAAAAAAAGATAATGTGGTTGATAATTTTTAATGTTCAAGTCCCAGAGACTTGCTCTGAGAGCCTTTCTTAACTAGAGAAAAGCATATTTAAATGATATATACCTGAAAATTGAGCCAAAGGTCAATATGAAAGTTTTATGTCAATAAATGTACATTTGTTATGTCATTTCAGCTTCTGAAAATTTTCCAGTACACTAACTTTGAAAAAAATCGAAATTACATCTTATCAACTCAAGATCGCCTTGTAGGGGGATTTGCCAAGTGGCCAGATAGTCATCCAGGTAATTTATTTTTTGTATAAATCCAGAGCAACTTTTCTTTTGTTTATATGTTGAGTAGATCTTCAAGCATCTTTGTCAGAAAGGGCATATGATAGAAAATTTAGCCACAATTTTAGACTTAGTTTATATAATAGGTTTTTAAAAGGTGAATTGTTTAACTTTAGAGTTGATTTAGGGTGTTGGGGAGTATAAAGGAAGGGCTTGATTATCAAAATGTATTGATATAGTTTGCCTTTTTTCCTGCAAATATTTCACTTAGCAGTGTTTTGTTTTATTTAAGGCAATAAGCAGATGGTCTAAATGGTCCTTGTCCAAAATAGAACCATTTGGTTCATCCCAGATCTCAGGATTATTAGCTACCACTTAAGCTATGCAGAATAAATTGCTGTTAAATCCAAAAGGGGAACTAGTTCTTACTCTTTTCAGAAGTTATTAAATCAAAATTCACAAATCGTGAATACAGATGTCCCTCACTGTCCATATTCTTACCTGAATTTTGGCAGATTCATGTTATTTTTCTAGGTGAGTATTTTGCTATCTGAACGCTCAATGGTTAGTCACTCTAAAACTCAGGAACCAAATAGATTCACACAGTACAGTATTCCATGCTTTCCAAACTCAGGAATGGCATGGATGTGAAGAACAAAGGATTCTTTATTTCATAAGTTCTTTTAAATGGATTCTTCAGAAAAATGAAATATCTTTATTAATAATGACATTTCTCTAAAATATGTGGCTAATTCTGCTATTTTCCAGAAAGGCCTTATTCCAAGGTGCGTGCTCTAATATAATAAAGTCAGTAATTACATGGATACTGTCTACAGGCCCCTCAGACCTAACCTGCCAACCCAATTCATTATCTCCATATTCTACCCTGCTCCAGGACTTCAGTGTCACTAGGTCCAAGTTCAGGCCTAGGATTCTGCAGAGGTCTTGTCAGTCTTCCTGCCTGTAATCTCGTGCCCCTCCTGTTGACACTTTGTGTTGTACATTTGCTTAAAGGGGAGGAGAAGAGTAAAAGCTCTTTTCAGACTCTCAAAGGGATCTCTAATGCAAAAACGATTGAGAACCTCTAATCTGAACTCTTCTATTAAATCTGTTAAAATCATTCAAAGACTTTCTTAACACTCAGAGTCAGCTGGCATGGCACACAGGTCCTCCCAAGATTTGGTTCTTCTCCCACCTCTCGCATAATTCTCAAGCTACTTGCCCCTCCCCATTATGTTTTCACCTCCAGTAAATTGAATCTACAGCTTCCAAAAAAAATCAGTTCAAGAGTTTGTTAAAAATAAGTCAGAATGCTGACACTTTTGATAAGCAAATTGGTAAGTATTAACTATAAATATATGAAACTAGATTCAAGGAATGATTATTTTTTGCAGCATTGCAGTAGAATCATGGTTTTTATTATTAGTCTAGAACCGCTTCAGCTCATCTCTTGTCATAGAACTGTTATGGTCTGAATACGTACCTGAATCAAAATACAAATAAAGGGCTCGTGGAATCATATTTTTGTTCCTGAAATGAACAGGATTATTTCCTCACATTCATATTTACTTGTATCTTTATGCAGAATATATTTATTTTAAAAATGTACAATGCTTTTAATTTCTTAAGCAAAATATTATTTAAAATTTTTTGGTATCTGTAACACATAGCTATAAATATGTTTAAAAAGTGCTTCAAGGAAACAGTTATTTTGGTATTGATTCCATTGTTTTCAGTCAGTGCATGATGCTAATTTAAAAAATAATGAACTGTTTTAACAGTTAATAGGAATAAGGGAGTGACAGTCTCTTGAAAAGTATTTCTTATATAAACATTGAAATACATTTTGAGTGTTAATAATAGCTTTTAAAAGAAAATTCTTGGAGCTTTTTTCCAGAGAGATCAGTTGCTAACTTTAACATTTGTGTAAATACTTGGATGTGATATTTTTTAGTTATGTTACAGTGTCTTTAGATCCTATGCATTACAGAGCATAGAAAGTCTGTGTATGATAAATTGAATTTATGTGGAAAAGATCTGTTCCCAGACCTGTTTCAAAAATCAGTTTAACAAGAATTTTAAAAGTTAGCTTATTCCTGGTTCCAGTAAATTAATCTAGTAGCAGATTTGACACAAAGAGATTTTATATATATTTATAGAAAAAACAGGAAAAGAATCAAGTTTTATTATGAAGAAAACATATTTCAACATCTAAAGAGCTTGAATACATCACCACCTACAGATAAGGAGTTTTTTTTTTTTAATTTATTTTTGAGGCTTTAAACATTTAACTTCTGGTTCATTGGCTTTTACAAAAATCCTCTTGAGAAAAAAAGTTTATTTTTGTATTACCTGGAAAATGTAAGATCCTATTTTATGTTATTCTGAATGTATTTCCTCTTTCTGTTGCATTTTTTCCTAGAAAAATTTTCTCATTTATAGACAAGAAAATTTGTTACTTTGTGCCTTTTGTAATTTTAGAATATCTGCAAGAAAAATATAATAGTACAGGTAAAATATAATTTATTTTTTGTGGTCTGAAAATTAGGAAAATTAGCCAGAGGAAACCTAAGCATTCTCTGAAAATGATACAGGAGGGGGTTAACATAGGCTTTCATTGGTGAAGTAACTTTTTCACAAATAACATTGAGTAAGCACAACTATTTGTCATTCCTGTTTGAAAAGTAAATATTTCTGTAAGTAAAACTTTCTCTTTAATTCTTTTGACAAAGTTTGACTTGGTAGGATGTTTTGAACTTTAATAGCTCATGAGGCCATAAATGATGGCCAATTCAAAAATAGAAAAAAACTTTGACTGCTGCAAAATCTGTTTTTGGTAGTGTTTCCATAACTGCAGAGCTCTGAGGTCTTCAGAAATCCATATAAGGCTCTCAGGCAAGCAATAGCCTTGTGATTTCAGGGGCCATTTTAATGGAAGAAGGTTGCTGCCCGCTGAAAGATGGGAAACTGTAGTGAGGCCAGTGTAGAAGAACTGTTATGATATGAATGCGCATATTATTATAACCAAATAGAATGTGTGAATTTGTTTTTATTGTCAGGTCAAATTTTTTAGAATGACTGACATTACCCAAAATAGGAAAATTAAATATGGTACAGCATTCCAGATTGGGTTGTTTGCCTAAGCTTCTTTCTATATGGTTTAGAAACTGTCAGAGGTACAACTTAGAGAGGATGGGTAATGCTTCTTAGATTCAGAAATTTATTTTCATTTTTAAGAAAAAAAATTAATTTTACAATATGAAGCCCCTTGCTTCCATATTCTGTATTAAACAAAGGGATAACCTGTTAGAGGGAGAAGTCTTTTATATTACTGCTACTCTTTCTGTCTGTTCTTTAATCATAGAGGATGTTGGGAATGTCACTTCTTCAGCCAGGAACTGTTTTCTTTTTTAGTGATGATTTTCTTGAATAATAGATCATCTGATTTTGATCATCTGATTTTTAAAAATTTGGTGTTTGCGACTTTGAGAAAGCAAATATTTCAAAACCTGTAGTAAGTAGTTTTCTGAATTTATTTTTAATGTACTGATGGGCTCATAAGCAGCTAAAATATTTTGTAACATGTACAAATAAGAATGCCTGTTGTGATAAAAAAAAAATGCCTTATTTTCAGATGCTTTGCATGCATACTTTGGAATTTGTGGCCTGTCACTAATGGAGGAAAGTGGCATTTGTAAAGTTCATCCTGCTCTGAATGTAAGCACACGGACTTCTGAACGCCTACGAGATCTCCATCAGAGTTGGAAAACCAAGGACTCTAAACAATGCTCAGAGAATGTACACATCTCCACATGACTGACTTTAGATTGGGAAGCGGGGTGGGGGGATTTGTAGCGTAACTGTAGCTCAAGGTTAAAAGCCATGTATAACCAAGTGTGCTCTTTTTTTCAGAGGTAGAGTCTTACAATCGAATCTTGTGCCGATGTCACTTTGGTATATGGTCTTGAGCCAGTAACCTTTGTACTAGGTTTCAAGAAAATCTTTGTTGGAGTTTGAACCACGGTGGACTCTGTTGTGGTTCTTAATGTTTATACTGTATTTCTAAGTTCTTTGAGGTAAATTAACTGTATGTATGTAGGTTTATCTTTTTAAAAAACTCTTCAGTACAAAATTGTATCATATTATAAAATGGACACAAATCTTCAAAAGAAGTTTACAGTTCACATAGCTGTGATAATCGGATGAACACTTAGTGATCATTTAAAAAGCTTGACTGCTGATGGTAGAACATTGCTTTAATGAATTAAGTATCTGGGATTATTCTTTGAAAACAGATGATCCCATAATTTTTAAAAAGAATGACTTATTTTGTCTTTTTCTTAAGTAAAATGTGCCAATTAAACTTTTGTGGCCTGTATAAATGAAAGTAACTTCATAGCAAAAATGAATAGGCTTAACTAATCTAATAATTTTCTAACAGATTGTTTTAAGAAGACTATTATGTAATTGAAGGAAAAGTAATTTAACTATGTGATCATGAATGGGAAAGTTTTGTGCTGTGTGGGTCATTTATTTTAGATGTTGCTGAGGTCAGTAATAGTTATGTTTGATTTTAATCTCAAATCATTAGTTGCTTTTTTGCAGAGAAAATAGTCATCTGTAAGGGAAGACATTTAGTGATTTTATTTTTCTGAGATACATGATATTGTAAAATGTACTTTTATAACTGAGTTATTTTTAGCCACTTGAATTTTTTTTCTTTAGTTTGTTGCCACTAGTGTGCTAGCTGCTCTAATTTGAAACTGATGGTTTTCTAATTTTTTCAAAGTAAATAAGTAAACATTTAAGTAAAAAAAAAAAAGAGCACCACTTAACTAAATTTAATGGTATCACTCCATACGTGGTCATTTATATTTTTGTATTTTCAGGTAAGTGGGAGGGAAACGTACTATTTAGGGGTTAAGGACTGGGATTTTGCTTTGTTTTGTTTTCTTCATTCTATGACCTAGCTAATTGTAATGAAGTTAAAGTCTTGGTGATAATAAATATTGGCTTATTAGTTTTAAAAGTATCAGTATAAAAATTAAATTACTACTATCACTGTTTAGGTATTGTAATACTTAAATTTTTATTTTTATTTCTTAGAGTAAAGAAAAAACCCTTAAATAATGGCCCTTCCCAAAGGAAATCTAGTGTATATTTGGAAAAATGGTTCATTTCTTATTGGCATGCTTAGTTTTAAACCTCAATTTGCCAAAGTCAACCTTTTTTTTAAAATTAGAAATAAATCCAATTTTCTGATGGTAGGGAAAAAATAAGCTTAACAACAGATGTCATCTTTCCATATGTTATTCCAGTTGCACCTGTTTAAGTCCTGACAAATTAGGACGTCTATGTCTCAAACTAAGTCATCTCTTAGACATGAGGAATTAAAATGGTATGTATGCTTTAGAACTATATAAAAAGCCCAAATTGTTTTTCCTGAATTGCCATTCATGGTTGGAATTGCCATATTAATAAATGAAGGAGAATTTCAAGGTTGGAGTATTTCATAAAACTATTAAGAAATATTTTCTAACTCCTTGTATAATTTAATAGCATAGGATTATATATTACAATATAATTCTAATTGATATACTTGTGAGAGGCCATCTTGTGAAACTTTATGGACCAGTGAATGTTCACATTCCACAGCAGCATATTGACCAAAACAGTACCAGGCCATTGTGAATTGTGGAGAAACTATTCATAACTTTTGTAAATAGTTACTCACCACAAAAAAAAGTATTAATAAATTATAAGCAATACTTTTTATATATATACATATATACATATGTGTGTGTGTGTGTATATATATGTATGTATATATATATATTTTGTTCTTTGGCAGTGGTGATAGAATGAAAAGGAGAATATGAAGTCTTGAGTAAATCTATTCCCTGTGCTCTGCCTCCTATCCCTAGTATGGTATTTTTTAGAAGATGATAGGAGATACTTTGTTTTGAGCACATGTATGAAAACAAGATGAATCAGGTCATATAGCTGTTTATCATTTACAGTGTTTTTAGATTTGACCTATAATATATATACATTTTTATTAGATCTTTAAATAATTATTTATCAATATTTAAAATCAGATAGAAATTTTAGTGAAAATGGTATATAATTAGAAACTGGATAATATTGAGAGTCAATTTAGTAAGGAGGTGCTCTGGACTTGGGTTTAAATCCCAGACTGTGAGTTCACCAGTGAAATCTTGAGCCCTAACTTCCCCTTTGATAAAATGAGGGAGGAGAAATCTAAGTCATGAGTTTGTCTGAGGATTAAATGAGATAATACATATTAAGTACTTAACCTAGTACCTGAAATGCAGTAAATTCTTAGTTATAATTTCTGTCATAACCATCATAAAATTGTTATTTAAACCTCTTTTCTCTAACAGAGACCTTACAGATCTCTCAAGGAAGATGATGGCTTCTTTTTTGTAGTTTTTTTTAATCTCCCCAGAAGAATACAGAATAACTAGGATAGCCACATATCCTAGTCTGCAAAACTAGGTGTCACGGTGTCCCCATGAACTTCAAAATATAATTTTATAAGGACAAACCACTAACCAACATCATTTTAGCATCCTTGTGGGAGGAAGTAAAAGGCAGGCAGCTGCTTTCTGACAGCCATGAGAATAGAACTGTAACATTGCCCACAGTTTCTCGCTAGAAAGTTCAGTGGCCCCATCTGAGAACAAAAGCTGAAAGTGGGAGGGCTTCTATAGGTCCCTGTTAGCTAAGTGTTAGAGCAGTGTAGTACAGTCTGATGACTATGCTAGAGCAGTCCGAGCCCTGTCCTGTATACATCTTAAAACTAACAAGACAAAGCCTAGGTAGAATTAGAATCCATATTGGACAGAACTGTCAATAGGATAAAGAGAAGAGAGTCCAGGTAAGCATTGGGAGGGAAAGCCAATATACATAGACATTATATCTGGACATGTATAATTTTTAAAAGTACTTTGTGAAGATGAAACAGAAGCTTTAGGGCCATAGAGCGAAGAAAAGTCATCCTAGGGTACCCTTCCCTCCTCAAATTACAAGAAAACTCAATTCACACTCACACACACAAATGAGAAGGATTACAATCAAATCTCATTTAATTTTAATAAACAAGAGAATAAGCAGACCAGTATCCCTACAGACGATGAAAGTACATCAGAAGGACATGACCACAAGACTGATGAAAGCCTAATTTTTTTTAAAAAAGCCATTATGATAGGAAATTTATAGTTTTAGAACTATATCAATAAAAATGGGAAAAGCTAAAAATTAAGCAACGAAGTCTTAAAAACTGGGTGAAAAAGCAAATTTCCAGAAGTAAGTAGAAGGAAAGGATTAATAAAAAGGGGGAAGGCCATAAGATAAGATAGATAAGTCACTGGCCAACTTACTCAAGAGAAGAAGGGAGGAAGCAAAAACGAATATCTAAATGACAAGAGAACCATAAAGTAAGGAAATTTTCAAAATTATAACACTACTTTGAATAATTTTATATAATAAATTAGAAAATAATAACTTTAGAAAAATGCAAATTGCCAAGATTTACCCTAGTAGATACATACAGAAATTCAAAACAAATGTGCACTTTACAAAAAGCATCAGGCCCAGATTGTTTCAAGGGTTTTTCTACCAAACCTTCATGATTAAATAATCCCAGCGTTGTTTAAACAATTCCAGGGGCTATAAAAAGAATCTTGAATCTCAGAGGGCAAAAAACACAAAAAAGACTTTCAAATTCATCTTATAAAGTGAATATGATAGCATTGTTTCTAAAACCTGGCAGATAGTACCAAAGAGAAAACTATAGATCGCTCTCACAAATATATCAGTGCAAAAATGTTAACAGTATACTAGCAAACAATTCAATGGCACTTTTAAAAAGTAATGTCATGAGAAAGCTGGGTTTATTACAGGAATGCAAGAGTAATTTAATATTGGACAACCCATTAATTTCATCATAAAAGAGTCGAGAAAAATCATATGGTTATCTCCATCTTTGTAGAAAAGACATTTAGCAAAATTGAGTGCTCATTAAATATAGTCAGTTAAGTAGAAATTGATGAGTAATTTATTGGCATTTTATCTGCTCAAACCCAGCATCTTAACAAGAGGCTTTCCAACCAAATTCAGGAGCAAAGCCCATTGTCTCCTCTACTTTGTGTTGGGGGATTTAGTCAAATGAAATTGGAAAAAAGAAAACAGACATGTGAATTGAAAAGAAAGAGGAAAACTATTTGCAGGTAAGATTTTATATCTGGAAAACCCAAAGGGATTTGTTAAAAAACTATAAGAGAACTAACTTAGTAAAGTAGCATTCGCTTATAATTAACATACAAATGTCAGTAGCCTTTACCAGGCACGAAAGAGTGCATACTGTGATTCCATTTAGACGAAGTTCAAAATGAGCAAAATGATCTATGGTGTCAGAAATAAACACCCCATTTCAGTCACTACCTCCTTCCTCAAAGGTAAGCACTATCATGACTTGAATCACTATCAGTTTTGTCTGTTTCTGAACTTTTTATAAGTGGAATCATAATCAACACATTGTTTTTCAGCTGGTTTTTTTTGCTCCACAAGGACTGGAAGAGTACAAAGCAGCTTCTGTGGTGCTGGCGACGTTCTGTTTCATGATCTAGGTGCTGGTTACATAGGTGCATTCACTTTATGAATATTTATCAAGCTGTACACTTAGGATTTGTGCACTTTTCTGTATGTAGTTCAATAAAAATGTTTACTAAAAAGAATAAAATATATATACACACAAACCTAAAGTAGTTAGAAGATATGCTTGAAGAGATCTTTTACGATTGCAAAAAGAGAAAGAAACGTTTATGTAAACTTAAGACATGTCCAAATGTGTACAAGGAAAGCTTCCAAAAAATAAAGACATTCTGTCTCGAAAGACAGAAGAGTCTTGAACAAGTGAGAAGATGTATATACTATATTCTTAGATAACATCAAAACATGTTTCTTTCCTCAGGTTTATAAATTTAATGCTATCCTAAAAAAATTGTGTTTTTGTTTTTGAGAGAACATGCAAGAATAGATATGGACACTGAAAAAGAATAATAGTGAGCAGGAACTGACCCTGCCATTAAAACATGCTCATGAATCTTCCATGATTAAAAATTTAGTATTGACAAATGAGTAGTCCAGTGGAACGGAAAAGAAATTCCTGAAATAGACCCAATGGCATATTAGAAGACAATAAAGGTAGCATCTCAGTAGTTAAAGGTGAACTTTTACTTAAGTAGTATTGGAATGACTAGTGCTCAGTTATTCAGATTATTTACCTATGTTGTTTGAAGAGTATATAGTTTTTTTTACTTTGAAACTTCTTTTTTACAATGAGCATTTATTATTCTTACAATTCAAAAAATAGAAGAGATGCTGATGATCCTCTCCCCACCTCTATCCCCAGCCTATCCGTCCTAAAAATAACCACAACTGTTGTGTAAATCCTTTGGACTTTTCATCACTCTCTCTCTCTCCATACATACAGATGTAGATTTGTTTAAAAAGCGGTAGGTTTAAGCACTAGTCCTCCCAATACCATATGCGTACGTCCACAGATATACACAAAAGAATATGAGATACTGTGTAGGCTGTACTGTAACTTTTGTCCGTTCCACGACATATGAGTGCCTCTCAAGAGCCATACTTTGCTTTAAATAGCTACATGGTATTGCATTGCATAAAGGTATCATATGGCTGTAAGATGTATGACAATGTATCATTGCCTACTTACATGATTTCTTTAAGCTAGATGTATAGATGTGGAATGGCTGGGACAAAGGGAGGGCACGTTTTAAATTCTGATAGCTTTTGCCACATTGCTTTCTAAGAAGGTTGTACTGGTGCATGCTCCCTTGACACAGATTTTTAAATGAGTTAGTAGCTTAGTTCCTCATTTTACCAATTATAAATCTGAGGCCCAATGATGAATGAACTCATGCAAGATTGAATATATATGTATATGTGTGTGTGTGTGTGTGTGTGTGTATTTGTGGTAATGCTGCAACTAGAGTGCATGTTTCTGTCTCTAGGACAGGGATCTTCTTTTCATGTCATAACAATTCTTTGACTGAAGTGTTCATCCTTTTGCTTCTTTTCACATTTTTCCAGATGTTTAATCCTAATAACATTTCATTAAAGCTCCTACCAAGGCTTTAAATGAAGAATTGTCATGAAAAGTAGATGTGGGATTTTTTTAATTGATTGATAGTGCACTGCAGTTACATAAGATGTTATCATTGGAGAAGCTGGGTGATGGGTACATGGGGCCTCTCCAGAGTTTACAACTTCTTGTGGGTCTGTAAATTTTTCAAAATTAAAATTGTTTTTTTAAGTATGTGTGGGAACATGAAAGGCACATAAAATTCATGGGAGATAACTATGAGCTTAGGCTCAAAGCCGGTTCCCCCCTCACTTAATGAGCAAGTCAGGGAATTTGGTATAGCTTTATGTAATCTCTAAAGGGTGAAGGAAAATAATCACTAAAATAATCAATTTGATAACGTATACCTAAGTAGCTTGCTAGAACATGGATTTTTGTTGTTCCATTTGAATTTTAGTGATTGAGTACCACACTAGAATATTCTGCTAGAGAATACTTTTTTTTTTATGCTACAGATGATACTATGGAAGATTATTCAGTGGTTAAATTTTAGAAATATGCATATAAGAATACCTATTCAAGCAATACCTTTTACTTTTATGACTCTTGATACTTATTTTAATATTTCTCATATTAAGGTTATTTCTAGCTCACAAATGTTACTGTGAACATCATATTTTTTTTCCCCTATGGAGTTCCTAGATTATAGGGAGTGTACTTTAAAGATACTAGTGGTACCTGTTACGTTGCCATTCAAAAACAGTGTAATCATTCATAAACTCACCAGCAGGGTATTAGAGTATCTGTTTCCTCGTATCTTCTGCAACACTAGACGTTAATAATTGTAAAGTTTTTTTCATTCTACATGGGGAAAAAAAGATATTCCCTTGTTGGTAACACATGTAGAAAGCAAGTCTAAGTTTGGGGGGGAAGGTCGTTCTTTGTAAATGCTGTATGAATGAATGATGCATAATCTATGTTGAGAGTAAAATCAGAATGATGTCTTTCCATTAATTTAGGACTTAACAGCAGTAGTTTACAGTGTGTGGTCTGCAGGCAGAACCTTGGCATCACCTGAGAACTTTCAGAAATGCAAATTCTCTGGCCCTACGTAAGACCTACTCGTTTTGGAAACTGGGGGTGGGATCAGCTATGTTTTAACAAGCCCTCCAGGTGACTCTGATACACACTCAGATTTGAGAACCAATCGTTGATTTAGAAGAAGCGGCTTCAGCAGGAGAAGCAAGTAAGAATCCCATATCATTTGCAAATTTAAATTTTAAAAAGTTTTAGTTAACCATAAGCTCAGTGTGATTCAATAGTGTGATCTTTACTCCCACCCTGAAAAAGCTAGTATGATCTTGTCTGTGGTAGTCGGGTTGAAATGTGATGAATACTCAGCTATGCAAAGAAAATGCCACATTTAGTTTCTCAAATGGACTCATTCTTCATTTCCCCATCTTTTTTGGCTATCAGGGTAGGAAAGTCTAGGGAGTGGGACCATTTAAATTTGTCAGCTAATAATTTCAGTCTCTTCTGATGTCAGTGTCTTTTTTTCTCTCCTGTTCCTTGTTGTCTGGGTGTATGTGCCTCCAGGCTGTTGGTGGGGGCCTCTCTTGCAGGTTGCTGCTCTGGTCTGGTCCCTGTCCTGGTGCCTACTGAGGTATCTGCCGTTGGTCAAGTGTGGCCTTTCGAGGTGGGTTGCTGCCATGTGCCAGACTGCACAGTCCCAGCACTTGGCCTCTTTGCTCTAATCCCAGGCCCCTGGCAATCTCCCTAATTTTAGCGACTCCATATCTGCTTCCTCCAGCCCTCTACACACATGACACACACATACACACACACATACACCCTCCCTCCCTCATCTCTTTGGCCTGTGCAGAAACTCCTAGATCTTTATGCCTGAAGCATTGTCTTCATTTCATATATCTGGCAACCTCCCTCCCCTCCCCCCACTGCGATGCTACTGAGCCACCCTGGATATAGAGGTAAAACAAGTCGTACCAAGTAATTGTGCATAGCATAAATGTACAGTTAACATCATTTTCCAACCCAGGCCATGATTTGGCAGTGGGTGCTGCTGGGCTGAAGCAGAACCAGCAAAGGGAAAAGAATTCTCCCTGGCTTGCTAGCTTGCCAGCTTGCCAGCTCTGGCCTTCAGTCATTATGGATCGCCAGAGAATGCACATCCACTTTCTCTTGGAAAGAGTGTAAGGGATGTCTCTTTCACCCCTACTTGATCTCTCTTCATGCACCTGCACCTTCTCCATCTGAACGCAAGATTTCTCTTTACTCCACACTTTCTGAGTCAGGCCATCTTTGCTCTCATCATGTGTCCAGACTCCTGCCCTACCAACATCCCCCTACCAAGTGTCCCAAAGAACCTGAGACTGGAAGGCCAGGTTCAAGTTTAGAAATCTTGGCCTCATCCAGGTTCCCAGCTTGTGGCCAGCCCTCTCTCCACACCCTAGGCACCCTCGCACACCTTGAGGAGCTCCCTGATGCCTATGATAATTCTGCATCACCTCCAACTCCCCCAGACAGCTGCTCCATCATCATACCTTGCACCAAAGAGTGTACACACACTCTGACAGCACAGTCCAAAAAGGACCCAGGAGAGAAGCCCATGAAGGCCCTGGAAATGGGCTCAGGAATTCTGGGATCTCTGGTACCTGGGACATGGTCTAGAAAGGGGGCCCACCAATCCCTCAACTCATGGGGAGCCCTGGAATGGGGTCCTCTAAAGTACAAGGACCCCTCTTGTCCAGATCTAAGGGCAGTACTGTCAGGCCACCAGCCCCTGTGTTGCTAGTTTCCTCCACACCTGTCTAGATACCACTACTAGGCTTCCATACACCTCTCCTCTGCCCATCTCTTTCATCCTTTCCACAATTTTCCGGGGCTGGGAACAATAAGGTTTCTCCCCTTTGTTTGTGACAGGGACTTTCCTTTCTTCATTTCCCAGGGTCTCTACCATTACCTTGACATTTTAATTGGAATTTAATTTAGAAAATCTTTTCTCAAGTAACAAAGCCTGGTTTTATTATTCTTATTTTGCTGCAAACTC